GTGGCGGGCTCCTGTAATCCTAGCTACTCGGGATGCTGAGGCAGGAGCATCGCTTAAACCAGGAGGTGGAAGTTGCAGTGAGACGAGATGGTGCCATTACACTCTAGCCTGAGCAACAGAGTGAACTCCGTCTCAAAACAAAAACAAAAACAAAAACCTTTATAATCCCCCATGTTGGAGGTGGGGCTAGGTAGGAGCTGATTGGATCATGGGGGCAGTTTCTCATGATTTAGCAACATCCCCCTAGTGCTGTCATTAGCGGTAGTGAGTTGCCATGAGACCTGGTTGTTTAAAAGTGTGTGGCACCTCCCCTGTCTCACTCTTCCTCCCATTCCTGCCACATAAGATGCCTCCTCCTGCTTTGTCCTCTCTGACATGACGGAAAGCTCCTTGAGGCCGCCCCAGAAGCAGATGGCATTACGCTTCCTGTATAGCCTGCAGAACTATGAGCCAATTAAACCTCTTTTTTTTTTTTTGAGACGGAATTTCGCTCTTGTTACCCAGGCTGGAGTGCAATGGCACGATCTCGGCTCACCGCAACCTCCGCCTCCTGGGTTCAGGCAATTTTCCTGCCTCAGCCTCCTGAGTAGCTGTGATTACAGGCACGCACCACCATGCCCAGCTAATTTTTTGTATCTTTAGTAGAGACGGGGTTTCACCATGTTGACCAGGATGGTCTCGATCTCTAGACCTCATGATCCACCCGCCTCGGCCTCCCAAAGTGCTGGGATTACAGGCTTGAGCCACTGCGCCCGGCCCAAATCTCTTTTCTTTATAAATTACCCAGCCTCAGGTATTTCTGCATAGCAGTGTGAGCACTGACTAACACCACCAATCTGAAGCATCATGGCAGCTTCAGGGAGTCCTGTGGGGTCAGTGGAGACCTCGCTGAGGCTGCATTCCAGCCCAACTTCTTCCTTTGCCCCACATCTGTCCCTTTTCTTTCCTTTTCCTTTTCTTTACTTCCCTTCCCATGTGCTGATCATGAAAGTTCTCTCCAGTCAATGCTCTACGTGCTAATCTCAGAATCAACTTCTCCAAAAGCTCAACTTCGAGAGGCACTCAGGCAATTTTTGCCTAAGACAGGTTTCTTCTCCACAGCTGCTAAATTGATCAAGACTCATAATTTTTCGAAGAAAATTTCTGAAAATCAAGGAATCCAATCACTGCATATTTGAATTGAAGTCACTTTTTCACATGTGTGTAAAACCTTCACAATTCTATGGGAAGACAGATTTCAAAATGAGCCCCTGAAGTCTTGGTAGGGGAAGCAGATAAGCTGTTATATTAACTGTGGGAGAGCTTCTAGCATTGCAAACAGGTGCTCAGTAAATTATTGTTGAGCTGGATAAAAACAATTTTCTTTCGGTCTTTTTTTAGAGACAGGGTCTCTCTCTGTCACTCAGGCTGGAGTACAGTGGTGCACTCATGGCTTACCCCAACTTCCAGCTCCTGAGCTCAAGCCATCCTCCTGCCTCAGCCTCCCAAGTAGTTGGGACCACAGGCATGCACCAACACACCAGGCTAATATTTTGATTTTTTAAAAATAAAGAGAAGTTCTCACTATGTTGCCCAGGCTGGTCTTGAACCCTTGGCCTCAAACGATCCACCAGCCTCAGCCTCCTTTGGTGCTGGAATTACAGACATGAGCCACTGTGCCTGGCCCCCAGCATATTTTCAATAGATTTATTTGGTGTTCATGGTTAGATGAAGGCTGCATCTCTTTCTCCCTCTTTCTCTGCCTTTCCTTTTGTTTCTTCTAGTCCCTCTATTTTTTTCTCATTGTCTTTCCTCTTTCCTCATTGCCTTTATGGTTTCCCTTTTTCAGTCTCTCTCCATTTTATTTCTCACCATTCCAATCTCTGCCTTGGCTCTTCTGTTCCTCTCCTAAAATTGCTCATCAGTAGAAACTGATGCAAGTAGAAATAGAAAGTACTGAGCAGGAGGGCTCAGGTTTGATGGCAGCTTTGCCAAGGGATGAGCCCAACTGTCGAGTTTCGAGAGGCAGAGGGGCAAATCCAGGCGAAGGCAAAAGTCAGTGAAAGAGGTATCAGGGAGTAGACCTGAACTACTCTGATTCCATTTCTTCTGTTTTTTCCTTCCTTCCTTCCTACATTCCTTCCTTCCTTCGTTCCTTCCCTCCCTCCCTCCCTTCCCCTTCCTTCCCTCCCTCCTTCCCTCCCTCCCACCCTCCTTCCTTCCTTCCTTCCTTTCTCTCTTTTTGACAGAGTCTCGCTCTGTTGCCCAGGCACGGGAGTACAGTGGTGTGATCTGACTCACTGCAACATCCACCTCCTTCCTGGGTTCCAGTGATTTTCCTGCCTCTGCCTCCCAAAAATCTGGGACTACAGGTGTGCATCATCATGCCCAGCTAATATTTGTATTTTATTTTTTTAGATAGAGTCTTGCTCTGTCACGCAGGCTGGAGTGCAGTGGCACGATCTCTGCTCACTGTAACTCTGCCTCCACTCCCCAAGTTCAGTTGATCTCCTGCCTCAGCCTTCTGAGTAGCTGGGATTACAGGCACGTACCACCAGCCTGGCTAATTTTTGTATTTTTAGTAGAGACAAGGTTTCACCATGTTGGTCAGGCTGGTCTCAAACTCCTGACCTTGTGACCCACCCACCTCCCAAAGTGCTCAGCCTCCCAAAGTGCTGGGATTACAGGTGTGAGCCACTGCACGCAGCCTAATTTTTGCTTTTTTCAGTAGAGACAGGGTTTCACCATGTTGGCTAGGCTGGTCTCAAACTCCTGACCTCAGGTGATCCCAAAGTGCTCGGATGACAGGTGTGAGCCACCGCACCCAGCCTTGACTCCATTTCTATGCTACAGGAACCATACCAGGTTCCTGGAGGTACAGAGAGAAAAGACAGAATCTCACCTCTTCATGCATGGGAGTTGACTGGGCAAGTCAGTATACAGTGATGAGAGCAAAGAAAAGGAAGCAGGACGCAGGGGAGGCTTCAAGAGAAAAGGACATTTGAATGGACTCAGACAGGAGGCAAGGGTGAGAGCACAGGCAAAGGAGTGGAGGTGTGGGCGAGCAGTGTTGACCTGAGGCCCTGAGCCGGGCCTGGGCATCGGGTATGAGGGGGCAGGGGTGGATCTGGGAAGCTGCTGAGGTCAGATCATGAAAGACCCTCAATGCTAGGCCTGGGGGTGTTGGAAGTTACTCTTGGGAGTGGAGCCTATGACTGGCTTCGTTGAATAGAATCAGAATCTTAGAAAGATCTCTCTGGGACCAGAATACAGGCTGGATTGGCAGGGACAGAGGTCGTGAAGGCAGCTGGGGGTGACGGCAATGTATCAGGCAAAGAGTGCCAACAGTCTGGGCTGAGGATGGAGCTGGAAGTAGATAGGCGGGTGAAGAGGGGCCTGAATGAGAGATTGGGAAGAGGACTCAGAGAACTGGAAAGCAAACTGGATATGGAGGCAAGGGAGCGTTGGTAAACATCCCTCTGTGTGCCTCTCACACTCTGAAACATCTTGGCATGCCAAGGAAGCACGGCCCTGAGCATGCGTGACTGGGGCCATTCTTGCAGGTGGTGTCTACAGTAAGGTAACCTGGAGGGATGAGGTAATGTCTCCCTGTGGGAGCAAGAGCAGGCGTGCGTACTGCTTACTGTAAAAACCGGTGGATGCCCTGGGCTCACTGTTCCTCAGCTGTGGTGCAAACCACTGTATGTGTAGCCTTTACCTGGGCTCTCTGTGTCACACCTGCGGGACAGGGAGGACCAACAGAACCCACGCAAATGTAACGTTCATGCTGCTCGCTGCTTTGTGGGTACAGTTGTTTTTGACCCAAGAATCTCATCTTTTACAATGAAACAGCAGAGTCTTCTATTCCATAAGTCACAGGCTAACTTATTAGCTGCTAATCAGGGGGAAAATAAATCCCTCACTGGTCAAGGAAAAGGAGAATTACTGGCTTGAATGACTTGGTATAAAGTAGTGCCTCTCGCCGGGGGAGGAACAGGTGTGTAGGAACGAGAGGCTGAGGTCAGTTTTATACACGGTGATTGTGTTTTCCCACCAAATAGGTGTGGTCCTTATATACAGGGATTGGTCACTGGACCTCAAAGACCTGTTGGCAAATTCTGTCCCTAACTGAAGCAGGAATAGAAACCCCTAGAGGTTGGTCAGTCTCACATCCCAGACATCCACCACGATCCTTTAGTGTATTCTACTAGCACCTTCCTAGACGGCAGGTGGAAAATAAATGTCTTTTTCTTTCTTTTTTTTTTTTTGAGAGAGAGGGAGTTTTGTTCTCGTTGCCCAAGCCAGAGTGCAGTGGCGCAATCTCAGCTCACTGCAACCTCCACCTCCAAGGTTCAAGTGATTCTCCTGCCTCAGCCTCCTGAATAGCTGGGATTACAGGTGCCCACCATCACACCTGGATAATTTATTTTTGTTTATTTTTAGCAGAAGCAAGGTTTCACCATGTTAGCCAGGCTGGTCTCGAACTCCTGATTTCAAGATGATCCGCCTGCCTCAGCCTCCCAAAGTGCTGGATTACAGGTGTGAGCCACTATACCTGGCCATGAAAATAAAAGTCTTAAAAGAACCTGAGTAATGTGAATAACCAGTTGAAATGTATTCATTTTGTGTATCTTATTCAATGTGTAGCATTACACAGTGACCTCAACTGTACCAAGAAAACTGGGTTTTTGGAAATACTGTGGACCCCTCTCTCCTTTCTCAGTACTGGTGGTTCCAGGGGAGAACAACTGAAGGAAGGAAAAAGGCAACTGGGGTGGGGGAGGAAGGGGACAGCAAGGGAAAGAACAAATCCAAGACATTTTCTTCTTAGGCAAGGAATCCATGTCTATTGCCAGCCTTGCCCTATAGCAAGGGTTCAATAAAAGCTTTTGAATATATTCATTTTGGTTTTTGTTCATCCATTACACAATCCTTAAATAATTCCTCTTCACATTTTGGCAACTAAAATTTTAATACTTTTTTTCCCTCTATGTCACGGATTCAATTGATAAAACACTTACCCGGTCATTCAAGAGCTGATGGTTTAAGGGTGTCCAGGTGCTCATCTTTGTCTGCATTTTGGGACCATCTGTATTTTTCGGAGGTGCAAATGCCATCATGAAACAACTGGATATCCTTCCATGAGAAAGACAATACCTATCAGAAGAAGTGAATCATATGACCCTCAGAATACAAAAAATACTAACAACGACCAGGCGTGATGGCTCACACCTGTAATCCCAGCACCTTGGGAGGCCGAGGCAGGAAGATCACTTGAGGTCAGGAGTTTGAGACCAGCCTGGCCAACATGGTGAAACCCTATCTCTACTAAGAATACAAAAATTAGCTGGGTGTGATGGCACATGCCTGTAATCCCAGCTAATCAGGAGACTGAGGCAGGAGCATTGCTTGAACTCAGGAGGCAAAGGTTGCAGTGAGCAGAGCTCAAACCATTGCACCCCAGTCTGGGCAACAAGAGAGAAACTTTGTTTAAAAAAAAAAAAAAAAAAAAAAGAGCCAGGCATGGTGGTGCGTGCCTATCTACTCTAGAGGCTGAGGCAGGGGAATCACTTGAACCCGGAAGGTAGAGGTTGCAGTGAGCCAAGATAGTACCACTGTACTCCAGCCTGGGCAGCAGAGCAAGACTGCATCTCAAAAAGAAAATGTTAATACCATATAATTTTTCAGTATGTCGGCAGAGGGAATGGGTGGGAAGAGCATTTATTGGGAGCATCTTATGTGTCAAGCACTTCATACATCTGCTCAATAGAAGCATACAACTATCAGGCGAGGTGGTAGTTTTTAACTCATTTTACACATGAAGAAAATTCGGCTCATTGACTTTACCCTGTCTGAGGTCATACAGAGAACAAATAGTGGAACTGGTAGTCAGACCCAGGTCAGTTCAATTTCACTGGACTCTGGGGGAAATCCAAAATCACTGCTAGCCAATATACTATATTGGCCAGAAAGAAAAGTATTTTAAATCATAGTGCAATATAAAACACTTCATTCTTGTCCTTTGTGATATTAACTCTCCTCCTTCCTTCTTAACTTCCAGATATCCAAATAACAGGAACTCCCGCCTGACAGCATAATAAAGAGGAAGCCTGGTGGGAAAGACAAAGCTAAGGCTTAGGAGATGAACAGATTTGAGTTCATTGGGGGAAATTTGCTATTTTTAGTTAGCTGGTATATGTCTGCCTCCTGTTGATTAAAACACTTTAGTTTTCAGAAGGAATGACGTTTCCTTCATTGTTTAGAGCCTGATGGTTTAATTAATTAAGGTAGCCTGTCCTTCCCTAGGCCAGAGATGGTCATGAGACTAAGCTAGGCCAGCTGGGCTGACAACAGCTTATTCTTATTCTTATTTTATTGACTTAATTATTTATTTTGAGATGGACTCTTGCTCTGTCACCCAGACTCCAGTGCAGTGGTACCATCTTGCCGCTCTGCAATGAATGTCTACTTCTCAGGTTCAAGCAATCCTCCTGCCTCAGCCTCCCAATTAGCTGGGGTTACAGGTGCGTGCCACAACACCTGTCTAATTTTTGTATTTTTTTTTTTTTTTTTTTTTTTAGTAGAGATGGGATTTTGCCATGTTAACCAGGCTGGTCTCGAACTCCCAGCCATAAGTGATCTGCCCGCCTTGGCCTCTCAAAATGTTGGGATTACAGGTGTGAGCCACTGTGACAGCCACTATTTCACAGGTGAGGTGGTCATTCAAAGTAGCATTGTTAACCTGGGCAGACTGTCTGGTTGTCCCTGCTATTTCACTGCTCCTCCCCACTTCCTACAAAAGCCCCATGTCCTTTCTAACATGGGGCTAATGTAAGTAAATAGGAAACTTACTGCGATATCCTTGCAAAAAACTTCCTATTTGCTTACATTAGCTAGAATCTGTTTCTGCTGTTTGCAACCTTTTTTTTTGTTTGTTTGTTTGTTTTACTTTATGCAGGTTTAATCCTGGCCCTAGCCTGTACTAACTGTGTAACTTTGTGCCAGTTATTTAATCTACCTGAGACTCAGTTTCCTCATCTGTAAAATGAAGATGTATACAACCACCCTCAACTGCTGTATCAAAGATGAGAGAAAAAGGGTCCAGCAGAGGGCCTGACATGGAGGTGGTCTTGATAAGCAGGAACCTCCCTGCAGCTTTTCTTAGAACTTGCCAATTGCAGAGTGCCTCAAAACCTGTCCTTTGAGGCCAGGCATGGTGGCTCACGCCTGTAATCCCAGCATTTTGGGAGGCCAAGGCAGGCAGATCTCCTGAGGTCAGGAGTTGGAGACCAGCCTGGCCAATAAGGTGAAACCGAATCTCTACTAAAAACACAAAAATTAGCCAGCGTGCTGGCACATGCCTCTAATCCCAGCTACTCAGGAGGCTGAGGGTGGGAAAATTGCCTGAACCCTGAAGGCAGAGGTTGCAGTGAGCTGAGATTGCACCATTGCACTCCAGCCTGGGCAACAAAAGCAAAACGCTGTCTCAAAAATAATAAAAATAAAAACAAAAACAAAAACACAAAAAACCTGTCCTTTGGAGGGCTGTGACAAAATATTTCAAGGTGAGAGACATTTTTCGGCAGATTGAGAGTAGTTTTGATATATACACTCAGGGTTTCTGCAGCTTTCTGCCTTTTCCACTCTCTGATGGTGGGTGTCCCAGGGACACGTAGCAGAGATGGCGACGTGTCCCCAGACCACCTACACTCGGAGCCAAGCCTGTTAGATAAGGTTATCATGAGACTTTGAATGCCATATTTTTCGAAGATAGAAGCTACTCAAAAACTAATGGAATTGCCTAGAATGGCAGATTAAACACTGTGACTATTAAGCTCTAGGGTCTCAGGCCATTCACGATCTCTCTTCTCATGATATGCAGAGACCATCCAAGAAAACTATCCCTTCAATGAGAGGTCTGTGCCTCACTCATTAACTCCCACATTGCTCTTAGTAGTAAGAGCCCGGGCCTGCTTGCCTGATCAATGGGCTCCACGAATGACCCCACAGCAACATAGGCTGGATTTTTTATTTTTTTGAGAGAGTCTTGCCCTCTCTCCCAGCCTGCAGTGCAATGGCGCAGGCACAGCCCACTGCAACCTCCACTTCCCAGGTCCAAGTGCTTTTCCTGCCTCAGCCTCCTGAGTAGCTAGGACTACAGGCACCTGCCACGCCTGGCTAACTTTTGTATTTTTAGTAGAGATGGGGTTTCATTATGTTGGCCAGCCTGGTCTCAAACTTGTGACCTCATGTGATCTGCCCACCTCAGCCTCCCAAATTGCTGGCATTACAGGCACAAGCCACTGTGCCCAGCCAAATTATTTTTTGGCTGTTATGGGATTTTCCCAAACACTATGTGAAATACTTGAGGTTCTCATTTGACATATAATATTCTCTCTCAAGAAGATAAAGCCCACATTTTAAAATTGGGTTCAAGCGATTCTCCTGCCTCAGCCTCCCTAGTAGCTGAGATTAAAGGCCTGAGTCACCAGGTCTGGCTAATGTTGTATTTTTAAAGAGATGGGATTTTACCACGTAGGTCAGGCTTGTCTCAAATTCCAGATACTAGGTGATCCACCTGCCTCGCCCTCCCAAAGGGCTGGGATTAGAGGCATGACTCTAGATCTGCCCAGCTAAAAAGTGATATATTTGCTTTTGTTGTTGTTATTTGACACCTCCAGGGTGTGAAGACAACACTCTCCAGCAGTTGCCTGCTGCCACTATCCCACTGGAATGAGGTGTGCTCAGATCAGCACTCAGGTTCTTCTCACCCCCAACAGCTAACTATCAGTCACATTCAGGTGAGTTACTAAGGCAAAAGAAATGATTTCATTACAGTAATATTAATTGGCAGCTAATGATAAAAGTACATGTGAGCAGGCAAGTTATAGATACAGGCTGGACATGGTGGTTCATACCTGTAAGCGCAGCACCTTGGGAGGCAGGATCACCTGAGGTCAGGAGTTCGAGACCAGGCTGACCAACATGGTAAAACTCTGTCTCTACTAAAAATACAAAAATTAGCCAGGCATGGTAGCACACCCATAATTCCAACTACTCAGGAGGCCGAGACAGGAGAATTGCTTAAACCCGGGAGGTAGAGATTGCAGTGAGCTGAGGTTGCACCACTGCACTCCAGCCTGGGCGACAGAGCAAGACTCTGTCTGGGGAAAAAAAAAAAAAAAAGTTATACATAGAAAGTATAGCCAAGGAGTCTAGATCCGCCCAGCTAAAAAATGATATATTTGTTTTTGTTGTTGTTATTTTCCACATTTCTTTCTCTCTCTCTTTTTTTTTTTTTTTGCACGCAGAGTTTTGCTGTTGTTGCCCAGGCTGGAGTGCAATAGCATGATCTCGGCTCACTGCAACCTGGGTTCAGGTAATTCTTCTGCCTCCCTAGTAATTGAGATTACAGGCATGCAACACCACGCCCAGCTAATTTTATATTTTTAGTAGAGACAGGATTTCACCATGTTGGTCAGGTTGGTCTCGAACTCCTGACCTCAGGTGATCCACCAGCCTCAGCCACCCAAAGTGCTGGGATTACAGGCGTGAGCCACCATACCCAGCCTACATTTCTCTTTTTTTTAACTAGTTATTTTGTTGCCTGTAATCCCAGCACTTGGGAGGCTGAAGCAGGAAGACTGCTTGAGCCCAGGAATTTGAGACTAGCCCGGGCAACATCGTGAGATCTTGTCTCTAAAAAAAAGTTTAAAAACCCCCCAAAATTAGCTGGGCACAGTAGTGCAGGCCTGTGGCCCCAGCTGCTTGGGGTGGGGACAGAGGGCTGAGGTGGGAGAATCACTTGGGACCAGGAGGTTGAGGCTGTGGTGAGCCATGATTGCACCACTGTACTCCAGCCTGGGCAACAAACCAAGATCCTGTTTTTAAAAAATAATAAAAACTTACAAAATAAACAAGCTGTTTTGAGTCCTTTCTTAAGAGCCACATGGCTCTTGGAAAATATGATGAAAGTTATGAATTCTCCCCCTAAAAAAATGCACATACATATAAAATTTTGTTTACCCCTGCTCTATGCTGAGCAACTCTCTTTCTTCACAGTTTGTGTAGGAAACCATGTGACTGATCCTAGGCACAACTTCTGAATGAGGACAAGTAGCTTTCCCTGGTCACTCCTCGCAGGGCCTGCACTGGTTGTTTTCTTTTTCCTGGTTCTTCGGAGCTATATGTCACTTGGGTTAGACTTTCTTCCAACCTGCTTGAAGATGGGTTTTCAGCAGAAGGGCCCTGCCCAGGAAGCAGCCCTCTTGGCCATGTAGGCCTGCTGCAGCGTGCCAGTGTGGATGTCCTGCCTTGTCTCTTGCTGTTATCCTTTTACAGTATTTTCTTCCTTCCTCCATTCCAGAAGATAGGCAGTGTGTGTATTTGCAAGCCCATACATGTTCACAGAAGAGACCACTTGCTACTATTAAGAAGACAGGGGTTTATTTTGGTATTTTTTGTTTTTCTTTTTGAGATGAAGTCTCTCTCTGTTACCCAGGCTGGAGTGCAGTGGCACAATCTCGGCTCACTGCAACCTCTGCCTTCCGGGTTCAAGTGATTCTCCTGCCTGTCTCCCGAGTAGTTGGAATTACAGTCATGCACCACCACGCCCGGCTAATTTTTGTATTTTTAGTAGAGATGGGGTTTCCTCATGTTGGTCAGGCTGGTCTTGAACTCCTGACCTCAAGTGATCCACCCGCCTTGACTTCCCAAAGTGCTGGGATTATAGGCGTGAGTCACTGCACCCAGCTACAGAGATTTTTTTTTCTTTCTTTTTCTTCTTTTTTCCACATCCAGTCTTAAAGTTATACCTGACACAGAGATTTTTATTTAAAACATACAAAACATAATTGTCCCCGCTTCATCAACAAAACAAAGCAAGTTGTCATTCCCTCCTTCCACAGTTGCTTTTTTGTGATGTCCTTCCCTGTAAGGACTACCTTTAAATAGTCATCTTTAATTTTTCTTAGAATGAAAATACAGAAAGAGGGCCTGTGTCCCTAGTTCTTGACATATGGTTCTAGTCTCATTTTCAATAGCAAGGATGGGTCCTCTGGCTACATACTTCCAATTTGATCTTCTAAGCCTTTTTTTTTTTTTTTTTTGGACAGGGTCTTGCCCTGTCAACCCAGGCTGAAGGGTACTGGTATGATCACAGCTCACCACGGTCTCAACCTCCTGGGCTCAAGCAATCCTCCCATGTCAGCCTCCTAAGTAGCAGAAACTATAGGTCTGTTACCACACCTGGCTAATTTTTTTGTATTTTTTGCAGAGACAAGGTCTTGGTTTGTTGCTCAAGCTGGTCTCAAACTTCTGGGCTCAAGCAATCCACCACCTCAGCCTCCCAAAGTGCTGAGATTACAGGCATTAGCCCCCACCTCCTGCCCTAAGCCATTCTTCACACAGTTATCATTATTCAACCACCTTATTAAGTACCTACAAGGCAGGTGTTAGGGGTACAAAGATAAAGGTCTGCTTTAATGAGCTCACTTTCTCTGTTAGGTATTTTTTTTTAACTTTTTTTGTTTGTTTGTTTTTTAAAGACGGGGTTTCACCATGTTGGCGAGGCTGGTCTTGAACTCCTGACCTCAGGTGATCCACCTGCCTCAGCCTCCCAAAGTCCTGGGATTACAGGCATGAGCCACCACACCCGGCCTCTGTTAGGTATTTTTTAAAAGACCAGTTGATCATGTCACTTTTCAGCTCAAAACCTTCAGAAGTTCACTGATGGCTACAGGATCTAGACCTCCTCCTACAGAATTCTAGGTCTGTCATGATTTTACCTCCACCTACCATTTCAGCCTCACCTGGTCCCACCTTCATGCACTTTCTGCTCAGACACACTGAACTCACGGTCATGCTGAGAACATGCCACACCACTCTGATGATTCTTGGCTCACAAGGTTTTCTGATGCTCACTGCTCTCCTGACTCATCACAGTAGTTTATAATAGGTACTTGATAGTTGTTAAATCAATAGAAAAAAATGACTACAGCAGTGGAGGTAGGGAGCAGTTTAAGGATTAAAACTTGTAGAAATGTTTGGGAGGCTAAGGTGGGTGAGTCGCTTGAGTTCACGAGTTCAAGACCAGCCTGGGCAACACAATGAAACCCCACCTTTATCAAAAACAAAACTAAAACAAAAAAAAATTAGCAGAGTGTGGTGGTGTGTGCCTGTAGTCCCAGCTACTTTGTAGGCTGAAGTGGGAAGATTGCTTGAACCTGGGAAGCAGAGGTTGTAGTGAGCCAAGATCATGCCCCTGCACTCCACCCTAGGGGAAACAGTGAGACCCCCCCATCTCAAAAAACAAAAAACCACCATCACCACCACCAAAACTTGTAGAAACACAGACTAGCTGTGGTGGCTCACACCTATAATCCCAGCATTTTGGGAGGCCAAGGCAGGAGGCCTTTCTCTACAAAAAAAGAAAATTGCTGGGGGTGGCAGTGGGCACCTCTAGTCCCAGCTACTCAGGAGGCTGAGGTGGAAGGATCGCTTGAGCCCAGAAGTTCAAGGCTGCAGTGAGCTATGACTGCACCACTGCAGTTCAGCCTGGGCTACACAGCGAGACTGTCTCAAAAAACAAAAACAAAAGCAACAACAACAGCAACAAAAAACCTTGTAGAATTGTAGAAATGTAGAGCAAAACTCAGAACATGATAAACTGGGCTCTGGGATTATATAAAGAATTATCGGATTTTTTCATTTGTAGTTTACTTAGCAGAATAGCACTGGGTCTCTCTGCTAACACAGAATATATCCACCGTACACTGTAATATCATCAGACAAGGGAATCTCAAATTATTATCAGGAAATTATCAAGAAATAGAGTATGGGTAGATTCAAACACGAATTCACCTTCCACTTAACTAGCTTTTAAAAAGCAAGAACTATAATACAACGCAAAGAGCAAGTGCTTGGTAAGCATATAATTATCTGTGGGTTGCTAATTTCACAGGTATGAAGTATCTGGCAGTTGCACTGTAGCCCACAAGAGAGAGCACAGTAAAATCCCCAGGAGCACTGCGAAGGCTCATGAGAGGCCCTGGAGCTCTCCAAAGAGAGTCTCCATCTTTTTCATGCACTGCCCACAGTTCTCACCTCTTTTAGCTTGTCTCCCTCTTCAAGCCTCAAGCGCTGACGTTGCCACAGTTGCATTAGGTCACCTTTTTCTCTGACTCCCTCCAGCCCCCTCAGCCCTCCCAGCTTCCAGCAGCCCAATCACCGTCTATAAATCCTCTTGCTGGCATCCGGGGTCTCTTAGGCAACAATGTGTGGGCTCTTGATTGGCCGCGAGATCCAGGCAGGCTGGCTACAAAATTGGGCACGGGGATAAAATTAACAAGCGTGGCGGCCAAGAGCGTGGGAGGGATTGCAATGTCTCGATATAACCCCACAATAAAGATGCGTCAACTCCTGAAACAAGCAGCGTTGAAAGCCTTCATTCAAGATGCAGTGTGTCCCAAATCAGCCCTACCTACGGAGCATGTCCAGTCACATTGTCCCAGTCATTCTGGAGCTGCGAAACGCAGGCTCCAGTGTGCCAGGTTTTAAGCGTGGCCAACAGGTAAACACAGGGTTGGAGGAAAACGAATTCGAGACTGGTTCAATTAAAGAATAGCATCTGCAACCGGAAGTGGAAGGAGGGGGCCGGGAGGAATTGCGCAACACACAGACACACAAATGCTTCAATGCAAATTTCCATGTATTCGATTATAGAATTCACGCTGACTGACAGATACACCAGGGAACCAGCAGATGGCATGCCCTAATAAGAATAACTAAATTTGGGAACTCTTAAAATCCTGTCCAATTCATTAAATTTATTGAGCGCCTGCCTCGTAATAAGCAGAATGAGAATACAAAGATAAAAAAGAAACCGAAAGAGGAAGAGTAGAAACTGCAATATACAAATAACTAATAGAAGGCTCACACAGGTAACAGCTGTTACAGAGTTACGAACAAGTGCTGCAGGTTACCAACAAGTTCAAGATTCCAGAACAGAGGTTCTTTTGTCAATGTAAAGCAGTTCTTACAGGCGGCAGTCAACAACAACAAAAAGCAAAACAAAACAGCAACAAAAGACTGTCCTCACTATCTTTGTTTTCCCAAATACATAAGAATGCATTATCCTCCGACTTAAAGGTACAAACCCTGTGTTTCTGTTGTGTTTTATACTTTTTATTTTTATTTTTTAGGTGACAGGGGTTTTGCTCTTCTCACCCAGGCTAGAGTGCAGGGGGGCGATCTCGGGTCACTGCAATCCTCTGCCTCTCAAGTTCAAGCGTTTCTCCTGCCTCAGCCTCCAGAGTAGCTGGGGTTATTAGCATGTGCCACCACAGGCCTGTTTTATAGTTTTTAAATAGGAAGCATTTGTATAGCTTCAGTTTAAAAAGAAAAAGTGAAGCTCATAGAAGTTGTTGCTTTCCTTAGGTTAAAAAAGATCAGTGGCCAGGCGCAGTGGCTTGTGCCTGTAATCCTAGCACTTTGGGAGGCCAAGGCGGGCGGATGGCCTGAGCTCAGGAGTTGGAGACGAGCCTGGGCAACACGGTGAAACCCTGTCTCTACTAAAATACAAAAAATTAGCTGGGTGTGGCAGTATGTACCTGTAGTCCCAAGTACTTGGGAGGCTGAGACAGGAGAATTGCTTGAACCTGGGAAGTGAAGGTTGCAGTGAGCCGAGATTGCGCCACTGCACTTGAGCCTTGGCGACGGAGCGAGACTCTGTCTCCAAAATAAAAAAAAGGATCAGTAAGTGGCCAAACTGAAATTACAGCCTAGGTTGTTTGAATTCCAGCCTAGTGGTTTTTTCCACATGACCAGGTTGTACCTAAATGAATAAACAAAGCCTTGGGGGCAGGGGCGGTGAGGGGCGGCCTGGGGGAGTTACTAGATGCAATACTAAATTACCATGCATTACCAGTTAGCTTTTATGGTTTCAAAACAGGTTCATCCAGAAAGAGACCAGTTTTAACAGCATCGGGAGTGCTGTGTGAAGTTCCCGCTCATTAAAGACTTCGTATTGGTGGTTACAACATGGAATGAAAGAGACGTGGGATTATAGAGAGCATCTCCTTTAGCCCTGTTGGATTGGAGTATTTTCATCCCTGAAAAGGCGGCCTCTTTCTTCTTGCCTCTCAACCAACGCCTTCTCGGCCTCCGCTTGTCCTGCACCTCATCATCTGACTACTGTCCTCCCAAAAGAACCTGAGCCACCCCATCCACGCCATCTACGTTCGCAGTGGGCACATAGAGCTCCACGTCTGTGACACTGCAATGTTACTTTCTTTTTTTTTAAGAGACAGGAATGGCTTTGTCGCGTAGGCCACAGTGTAGTGGCATAACGATAGCTCACTACAGTTTTGAGATTCTGGGCTCAAGCAATCCTCCCAGGCTATTTTTTTTAATTTTAAGTTTTGTAGAGACAGGATCTTGCTATGTTCCCACAGGCTGGTCTCCAACTCCTGGCTCAAGAGATCCTCTCTCCTCAGCTTCCCAAAATGCTGGGATTACAGGCGTGCACCACCTTGTTCAGTCCCAAACATTAATTACTTTTAAGGGGGATATTTCAAACATAAAGGTTTGAACACTTTCATAAGAAACACCCTTGATTCTCCACAGAGATTTTTTTTAAATGTTACATTTGTGTGTATTTCATAGATACAGTAGAACCTTCTTTTGTCTCATTCCCCTCCCTGCCTGCCTAGGGCAGTCATTGTCACAAAACTGGTGTGCGGCCTTTCTGTCCTTTTAAAGCTTTTATTGTATGTACATTTGCTCTCATAAACATTATATAGTATTGCTAGGGTGTTTTTTTTTTTTTCTGAAGAGGCATCATCACTTACATATATTGTGTTGGATATTTTTTCCACTCAATGTTCCTTTTGTGAGATTTAGTCACGACAATACAGTAGTGATCATTACTACATCATTCCCACCTCGCGAAGTTGAGTTGTGATGTGTCCTATGCCTCGCAGTCTTTCAAGATGGTGCGTAAATTGAATAAAAAAGCACATCACAGCGCATCTCCGGAGGTTCCCCAGCTACAAGGGATCTGACACACACAGTTCCCCCACACTATCTGCCCCCTCACTCACCCTCCACAGAGGCACCGCTGGCTCCAGAGGATACACCGCTTTGCCTAGAATCAACCAAGAATCGATATTATTATTTTAAACATTGTTTACTGCACAAGAATTTACTTATTAGAGAAGCTGTCATCTCAGATCTCATTTATCGTGCCTGTTCACACAGGTGATCACAAATCACCTGATATGAAACTCTAGGTCTAATTCCGAAACTCTTCAACATTTACTTAACATGTATCAATGAAGCGCCTTTTTTTTTTTTTTTTTTTTTTTTTTTTTTTTTTTTTTGAGACGGAGTTTCGCTTGTTACCCAGGCTGGAGTGCAATGGCGCGATCTCGGCTCACCGTAACCTCCGCCTCCTGGGTTCAGGCAGTTCTCCTGCCTCAGCTTCCTGAGTAGCTGGGATTACAGGCATGCGCCACCATGTCCAGGTAATTTTTTTGGATTTTTTAGTAGAGACAGGGTTTCACCATGTTGACCAGGATGGAGCCCTCGTGATCCACCCACCTCGGTCTCCCAAAGTGCTGGGATTACAGGCTTGAGCCACCGCACCCGGCCAATCAAGCGCCTTTCTAAAAAAAAATTGTAAAATACACATAACGTCAATGCACCATCGTAACCATTTTTAAGTGTACAGTTCTAATAGTGCTTAAGTCCATTCACATCGTTCTATTTCTCTAAGTCCTATGTGCTACCAACAGAACAAAATGTCACCCATGAAATCTAGGTTGAGGAGAAACGAAAAAGAAGAGAAAGAAAAGATAGGTTAAACGGTGCAGTGAGAAGAAAAGCAGCCCTAGGTGGGAATGAATCCAGGCCCTGTCGTTAAAACGCTGCATGGCTTTGGGTAAATCTAACCTTTTGGGGCGTTCTCTTCCCCGTCTGAAAAATGAGAGGTTCGGTTTAGATGACCTTGGAGAACTCTTTCAACTCTGAAGCCGCTTATGTAGAAAAGGAGAGGAAAAATACTTCCTAAGGAGCAAAAAAATGGGGCGCGCACCAGTAACGCCCAGCTCCACCTGTTTTCTAAGATCTTGAGAACTATCCCGGGCGAGTAGCCTGTTCTGTCTGCTATCCGGTTTCGCGTGGAGCTCTGCAGCTGGCCAGGTGCCACCACCACCTGCACCCCATGCCACCCTCAGCATCCGGGGATCGGCCTCTTGAGCAGCCCCCCCCCCCATCCCCAGGTCCCGAGCTCGGTATCTCTGGTTCTCAGACCAGGTATAGGTGGTCCTGCAATCACAACATCCACGCTGTGTCTATACGGCGAGAGAGTGCATTGAGAGGAGGGCACCAAGTGCAGCTCAGATGAACGCCTCTAGGGCTCAGAACGAGCACGCCGGGGCAGGGCAGCTCCAGGCGTCATTCAGGGTGCGAGGCGAGAGAACAACGAGGCGCGCCCGGCCAGCCCTGCGCGCCGAGGCTCAAGGAGGGAGCGCTCGGCCTAGCGTGCTCAGTGCGCCTGCGCCGTGCGTGAGCGCGTGCTCGTACGCTCGCTCCCAGGGCGGCGCGCCTCGGCGCTCGCGAAAGCTCGCGGTCGCTCCGAGGCGCGCGCCGGCGGTCCTCGGCCGCTCCGGGTACCCGAGGGACGCGCGGCCGCCCCCGGCCGGCGCTGCGGCCCCCACCCCTTGGAGCCAGGGGCCGGGGTCTGAGGTGAGTCCCCCGAAGCGTGCAGGCCCCGAGGCCCGGGCGGCGGGAGAGGGAGCGGCGAGTGTGGAGCCCGAGGAGGCGCCTGCTGCTCCGCCTCAGCCCGCGCTGAGGAGCCAGCAGCAGCGCGGCGCCTCCTCAGGGATCGTTCCCCTCGTCGCGGCCACAACAAAAGCCTTGGGCGCCGGGCTGTGGCTGGCGGCGGAGCGGGGGCCCGGGCCCGCGGTGGCGGCCGGGGGGCGCGGGGACGCCTAGTTTGGGGCTGAGGGCTGACGCGGGGAGCTGCCCCGGGAGACGGTTAACCCTGTCCGTCCTGAGCCGGCGCTCGGCAACCTGTGCGAGTGTGGACCGCGGTTCGCCCGCCTCCATCCCGCCCAGACCCTGCGCGGCTCGGAGAGTGGCGGGGCCGGAGCGGGCGGCTGCGTGGGGCGCCGGGGGGCGTGGGCGGAGGACAATGCGCCGGGGACTCCGGGCCGCCCGAGGCGCGCGCCGCCGAGCTCCCGGCTCCGGCTCGGGTCCGCGTCGGGCCCCCCGTTGCCTGCCCGCGCCTGAAAGTTGTCCCCTCCCGCCCGTCAGTTTCCAAAGTCCCTGCCGCCTTCCGCGCGCTGCCTGCGGCTGCCCCCTCCGCGGGCGGTGGGTTTGCGGTGGAGCCGGCGCTGCTGGGTCCCCGAGGGGCCGCCTCTGAAATCAAGCTGCGGGGAAGCAGCCGGCAAGGTGAAGGAGCCTTGTGCCTTTCAAGACGTGTGACCATCTGCCTAGAGGCGTGTTCCATCTTAGGAGACTTGAGTTCGATCCCCCTGTTGGAGGAGAAGGCAAAGGGGGCTTTTTTCTTCGTTTTGTTTTTAAGAACAAAAGCACGTGCCATGGATTGAGGCCGTGGAGGGGGCTCCAGATTTAGAGAGCTCTGCCCCATCGAAGGCGGTTCGGCGTTTTGCCCAGTGTAGAATGACTCTCTGAATTTCGGTTCCCGTCTGGATTGAGGGCGATGGCAGCAGAGCAGAGCCGCCGCGCCAGTGACTGCTACGGGAAAGTGCTCAGACACAGCCTCGTCTTAGAGCGGTAGTTCTGATCCGGAATGCTTAGTGATGGGAATCGAGTGACTTGGCAAGGCCAATATAATGTGAGCAAGGAAACAAAGACCTGACAACCCCTGGGGATGTCACGTCCCTCCCTCACCTTACTTGAGTCCTTGGCGGTGAGCTGGTGCCGTTCCTGCTTTGTAGGCTGGAAAAGGAATAGAAACCCTTAGTTCTATTTGTTAAGAAGGGATTACTCCTGAAGATAATGCCTTCCCTCTTTACTTTTAAACAAATCAAAACTATCTTTTTCCTCCAGAAACAAAGAAAAAAAACCCACAAAGATTAAAAAAAAAAAATTCAGAGTTGGAGAGCCTAGGAAAGATATTGAAGAGCTTGACTGGGCAGGGTTGGAAGGATGGAGCTGAAGATAAAATATAATTAAGATGCATCCCTTCTTGTGCCATATCCCCTCGCCCCATTGTTTGAAACTATTAAGAAAATAAGTAAATGTAAAGCCTATCATTCTACTCTCTCTTTCCTCCTGCCCTTTTCCCTCATCCATTACTAATTTTCTCTATCTCCATCTCTCCTCAATCTATGAAAGTGTCCCATTTGGAAAAGAAAGAGGACGACAATAAGCTGTTTCCTCATCCTAGCTACACTATGCTTCTGAGCTTTATTTTGTACTTTGAGCATTCAGGTGGCTATTTCTTGGGAGTTCTGTGACTGAGATATTTCAAGTAGAGAGGGTGAGGGGAATTTAATAGCAAAGTGCGCGTTATCTCTTTGTAAGTAACAAAGTGAAAGCTTTATCAATAGGGAAGGAGAGAGGAGTTTTTCCGCTCACAATAAGTTATCTGTTTCCCGGGAAACAGACTTAAATTTCATAATAGTTTGACAGTGAAGATCTAAGATTTTATATTCAAAACTTTTTCTGAGGATGTGAATTGATGTTTAGGCTGCTGTTGACTTTCTTTTCCCTCAGAGGCAGGTGGTCAGAAACAGTTCTTACCACTTCATTGAGTATTAGCCTCAAGTTTTTGGCTTTTTTTTTTTTTTTTTTTCCTAACCCTAGAACTCTAGAATTATGCTTGATTAAAACTGCAGCGGTCCACAAAAATAAAAAGAATGACTTTGAAAATATGTACTGAATAAATTATTCAGTATCAATTGGAGAAAAATGCGTGGTAGAGTATCGAGGAAAAAAATTAGATTTTCAGTAGTGATAGTTCTATAATACTAGGAACAAATGAAGAGTGACAGCTTCTCACTGGCTAGGAAAGAGTTTTACCTACTATGTCAAAAATGAATATCTTTTTTTTTTTTTTCCAATTCATCATGTTGGGAACTATTGGCAGTTCCAAGAAGTGCATTACACATGAAGTTTGAGATGAATGTAACTAAGCTAGTGGGCCTAAAAACCAAATCCTGGTCCCCAGATTTTGTCTCTTTGAAATAATGCTGTGTTCAGGGCATGCAAACCATACAACCTTGTTAAGGGGAGGAAAGCAGGGGCTTGGTATTAGAGAACTTTTTTATAGCAGATTTAAGGGAAGCTGGGCTGAAATTTCAGCTCTTTTTTAAGTACAGAATCTGTCTTTTTCCAGTTTTATTTTTGGGTTACTTTTTAAAGATCTTCTATATTCTTTAGTCTTAGTAATAAATAATTTCTAAATTGAACTGAATTTCGATGCCTACCATTCATTTAAATTTTGAATCTAGATGGACTTATTTTTCATCTGTGTGTGTGTGTGTGTGTGCGTGTGTCTTAAGCCTTAATCACTTAACACATCAAAAGATTAGGTTAGTTGTTGTAATCAGTAGATGATAACAAGATGGACTTTAAAAATTAGATGAAGTAGGAGAGTTCAGAAAAAGATTAATCCTAGGTCCTGTGAATTAAATATGAAACCATATAAACTTTCTTAGAACAACCAGTAGGCAAAGGGCCAAAGACTACATAGACTTTAAGAAAAGGAAAGTAACATTCGAGCAATGAGTATACTCTGTATATTTTGTCTAATAAGACAATAATTTCCTTCAGAGAAGAAACTTTTATTTATAGATAGTCATTTCGAATCCTTGCAATGCGTTCTTGATAACGTGTCTGAGAAAAGACAAAGAATATCCCTCCTGTTCCCTCTGTAGGCAGTGTGTAACCAGCATTTACTTTGAGAAAACGTTTAGATGATCTTTCTCAATTGGAAATGCAAAATGTTACTTACATTTATCAGGTGTCAAGAAAATGAAATCTCAACAGGACGGCGAAATGGACCCTTTTCTAAAAGAAAGTGTAAATTGGAATAGAGTTGCTGAACATAATCCTTTGTTGTAGAACCCCTTTGACAAGCCCTTAGGGCCCACTTTTCTGATTATCCTTTCTTCTGGGATTCAGCCTGCTTTCCACTTCACAGTTGCCTCCTCCTGAGTTTTCCACTGAGTTCTTTGGGTCTGATTTTGAAGCCAGCCAAGGAAGACAGTCTTCCAAGACTGGAATCTCTTCCCTTTATTGCTGTCTTTCAGGACAAATACTTAGTTGATTTTATTTTAAGGACCTTTACTTTACTTTTTGTCATCAAAAGAATCCTGATAAATAATGATTGGGAAATATATAATTCCTGATGTTACACATTCATAAAAATAGAAATATGTAAGCTTTAAAGTATCTGGTGCTTTGTATTTTCTGGTGGAGTGTTAACCAAGTAACTTAGTCTGAAATCAGTTTTCCAGATAGTCTGTGTTGCTCTATGGAGAAGTGAGTATGTCTCTTTTCCAACACAAAGGGCATGAGCAACTCTTGCCTAGCATTCACTTTTTACAGGGCCCTGGCCCCTGAAGCTGCTTACTCCAATTATGTTAATCTAGTAGGTCCTTTTTTTCCCCCCAGTTGATATGCTACAGTTTCTTATAATAAAAAATATGATAATGTCAGTAAGAATGCCCAAAACAACTGTTAACCTTTATTTAATGACTTGCTATGTTTTGGTAGGACGTCTTTGGGTCCAGAATCTTTGCTATGTCCTGCAAGTCTGGAACTTCAACTTAAAACTTTTCCATGGATGACCTTACCTTAGGAAAAATGGCATACTCAGTTGATCATGATTAGAAGCAGATAATTCATGATGTTATTGGAGACATATTATTTGGAATGTTTATCAAAAGTTTAAATTTTTTAATTTTATTTTTTTGAGACAGGGTCTCACTCGGTCACCCAGGCTGGAGTGCAATAGTGCATTCTCCACTCACGGTAAACCTCCGCCTCCCACATTCAAGTGATTCTGGAGCCCCAGCCTCCTGAGTAGCTGGGACTACAGGCACATGCCACCATGCCCAGCTAATTTTTGTATTTATAGTAGAGATGGGTTTTTGCCGTGTTGGCCAGGCAGATCTAAGACTCCTGACCTCGAGTGCTCTGCCTGCTTTGGCCTCCCAAAATGCTTGGATTACAGGTGTGAGCCACTATGCCCAGCCAGGAATGTTTATCAGAAGTTTTTAAATTGTGTGTACCGTTTGATTCAGTTGATTGGTTATCTGACTCTTTTTAGTATTGAAAATCAGATTTTGACTCTTACTAAATTGATCATCACTGATTTGCTTTTCTTACTAGGTACAATACAACAGTAGTGTATTCCTTGGCTTGTTGCTTAATTAATAGTCAAGAAACCAGTTATTTTGCTAGTTTTTATTCTTGTCAGCTAGTCAGCATACATTTATAGATTTAGCAGAGTTAATTACTTCATACACAAAATAATGTACTACAGATTTTTTCATTATCTCCCATAAAGCATTTAATATTTTATTTTTAAACAATCAAAATAATTTTACTTTATTACATATACTTATTTTTTTCTGACAAAAATATATACATATACTGAGCTATATACATATACTGTTTTGTGAACTGCTTTTTAATTTTTTTTTTCTATTTATTGTTACTGTCTTACCATATGAACAAATACAGGTTTATGCTCATCGTTTTTAGTAACTATAATATTCTATCATGTGGTTGCACCATAATTAATTTACCACTTTCTTATTGGTAGACTTTTAGGTTGTTTCCAACTTTTAGTATTTTTTTTTTAATTGTTAAAGACAATGTGACACTAATACTTTGGTTGTGCATCATGTGTACATATGTGTTTACTTAGTTATAAGATTGATTTACTGGATGAAATTGTGTACATTTTAATGATTTTTGATATAAGTAGCTACTCTTTTTTTTTTTTTTTTTGAGAGAGAGTCTCACTTTGTTGCCAGGTGCCAGGCTGGAGTACAGTGACTCGATCTCGGCTCACTGCAACCTCCACCTCCCGGGTTCAAGCAATTCTCCTGCCTCAGCCTCCCGGGTAGCTGGGACTACAGGCACATGCCACCAAGCCCAGCTAATTTTTTTTGTATTTTTAGTAGAGATGGAGTTTCACCATGTTGGCCAGGATGGTCTTGATCTCTTGATCTCGTGATCCACCCGCTTCGGCCTCCCAAAGTGCTGGGATTACAGACTTGAGCCTCTGTGCCCGGCCTGCTACTTTTTATTTTAAAGTACCAACTAATTTACTAATAGCATTTGAAAACGCTGAAATGTTGAAGGTGTTCTTTACCCCATATGCCCACCCTATACTGTGTTCTGTCATTATTGTTTTTTCCCATCTGATTGGCAAAAATCTTACCTCACATTTACATTTTTTATTATTAGTGAATGTGAATATCTTTCCATATGTTTCTTGGCTATTTGTATTTCTTTTGTAAATTTATGTCCTTTGCTTATTTTTCTATTAAAATGTTATCCCTTATCTGCTTTTATTTTTAAAATTTATTTTATATTTATGATTACATAAACTATACCTTTATTCTTTTTAATTATTTTGTTCTAGGATAGCATTTCTCAAGACCTGACTCATGGAGCACTTATAACCTTGAGGTAATCATTAGAACGTGTTTCATTCTCCAGGATTCAGATTTCTTAGACCTGTGGGGGAATCCATTAATCTGCTACATTTTAGGATTAGAGAACTGCTATTTTGAGGGAAATGAAAATTCTTTAAATAACACCTGTAGTTTGCCTGTTTTCTTTTTGTCTCACTGCATTCCACTGTTGTTTTTTCCCTTCTTTGAATAATCATAAACTACAGTCTTGCTGTATCAAGATTATTGTCCTTTCACAGCTTAACAGTAGATTTTACAAAAGCGTCTTGGTACATGGTAATTTGAATGTCATGCTACATAAGGAAGCACTTTTATAAGAAGGTAGAATGCTTTACTTTCAAGGCAAAAGGAATAATCAAAAGGAAACCAGGTAAAATAGATAGAATAGACAGAAGTGTAAGGGGACATTACAGCTAGTTTTGAAAGCTCAATGAGATCTGGTCAGTTTCTTCCTCAGGTTTTATGTGGTAGTCTTCTTTGACCCATTGATTTGAAACCCATACCTGTTTGAAAATAGATCAGTCTAAATGAAATTTTTGAAATTCTTGGTGTTACTGTATACATATTCAACAGGGAGTAATGTTCTCTTTAATTTTTTTAGTTGCAAGCAAATAAACATGCTACATAAGCAATAAACTACAAAGACCGAACTTACATGGATATTTTAATACTACAATCAAATAAAACTTTCAACAGTTATTTGACATATTTAATGATATGCATAATTGTTACTATGCTGCATGGTAATTAAGATAAGTATGTTTTTCACTGTGGTTAATATCAGTTTTCTATAGACAGACCTCAACATTTGTGGGGAGAAAAAAAATATGGCAGACCAAGAAGCTGTTTCAGAAATTTCTGATACAGAATGTAAGGGGAGCTTTAAGGCTTCTTGAGCAGGGTTTGCTTTTAACCTCATTTCCTAATTCTAGGGACCACAGACTTTTCTTTTTCCCTTCTGTTAGTCAAGACCATCTACTAAAGGGAGAAATGGGGAAGATTCTGCCACTGTTTTACTTTCTCCGGTAGTTTTCTGCCTGGTGACTGAAGCTTGGGACATAGAGGTCGCAATCATTGATAATTGTGCAAAGGACAGTTTCTTTCCCTGCTTAAATCAAAGCAGTTCCAGGTCTCATGTCTAAGTTATCATGGGTGCTAGTATTTGAGTTGTCCTATTCATCTGGATCTTTTGAGAATTTCTGAACCTGAATTTTTTTATCTTCCCAACCTAGGCTCACCACAACAAACATAAGACTATTCAGTGCATATGAAACAAAATGAAATAAAAGCAAAGTTAACATCATTACTAAACCAAATCAAAATGTGATAGCTTAGAATTTTTTTTTTTTTTTCATACCAGACCTACCTTCCATTCCACTCACACCCTCTCAGCTCCAATTGAGAATCACACGTATTTTTGCCCCTGGAAAGTACATACAAATGAGAAATACTAAAGCTCCGTGGAAATAATAACTGGGAGTTATTCTTATTCTTGCTGTGACTTTTAGGGATGATTTCTCTGTGCAGCATGGCTGTGTGTAATGACCTTTTGTTGATGAAATATTTCTAAGTCTAGTGCTACATCTATGTGACTAAATTTTTGTATTATCTAAAAAAAATGTAATATTGTGAAAATTTCCTAATATTTTAGAACCTTCTATATGTCAGTCTAGTATTAGTTGATAGAGGTAGCATTTGTATAAACTAATTCAGTGATTAAAATGTCTAATGTTTAATACTGAGTTACCATTTATAAAGTATTTTTGCATACATTATTTTATGATTCACCATATCATCCCTGTGAGCAAGGTGGTATGGGAATCATTTTCAAGAAGAAAACTGGGTGCATCGAACTTAAGTGGTATGTTTAGTTCACATGGCTAGAAAGAGGCTTGAATCGGTATCTTTTGACTTACTTTTCAGACCACCTTCACGGATGTCTTCTGCCACATCAGTTAATGCAAAAATATGCTATTAAAGATTAAAACATACAATTTTAAGTTCGATAATTTAGGTTATAAGCATAATATATATCCTTTAAATAAAATTTAGAACAATAGCATAAGAATTTTTCAAAATGGATCAATTATACATTGTGGCCATTGAAAAATTGTCATCATAGATGGAAAGTTAAACCATGTATTATAGAAGCAACTGGGGGAAGAAAATTAAATTTGCATTTAAATGTTATTTAAGGATCATTTCAGCTATAGCATAAATGAAAAAGTAGAAAAATTATGTCTATTAAGTACCCGCATATTATTAACTGTTAGGTCAGTATAATATCTCTCATCAAAGATTTTTAATGTCAAGTCCATAATACTTTGAGAGGAAATGACTAATGTCTCTCATTTTTAAAATAATACTTTTCAGATATTTCAGTCGAAGGAAGAAATAGCTCTTCTCCTAAGATGGAATCTGTGGTTTGGGAATGTGGTTGATCAACTTGATATGTTGGCCAAATGTGCCCCATGTAATAAAATGAAAAGAAGAGACAAGATGATGTCATTTTCCCATATTGTGAAACCAAAAACAAACGCCTTTTGTGAGTCCAAGCTAACAAACCTCTGACGGTGCGAAGAGTATTTAACTGTTTGAAGAACTTAACAGTAAGATATAGAAGAAGTACCTTCAAGCTGAGACCTGCAGGTGTATAAATATCTAAAATACATATTGAATAGGCCTGATTATCCGAATCTCGTTCAGATCCAGGAAGGATGGCTGTGAGTTGGATCGTCTTCTCTTTCTGGCCCTTGACTATGTTCGTGGGGCATATAGGTGGGCACAGTTTGTTTTCTTGTGAACCTATTACCTTGAGGATGTGCCAAGATTTGCCTTATAATACTACCTTCATGCCTAATCTTCTGAATCATTATGACCAACAGACAGCAGCTTTAGCAATGGAGGTAAGACTTGATCTATTATTTGACGTATCTTAGTAAGTGACTCTTACTTTGGCCCATCAACCAAGCTAATGAGTATGTTTGATAAACAACAGGAAAATAATGTGCTATTTTAAATTATATCTTATACATTTAAAATTTTATATGTTTTGCTTCAGACTCTATTAGATTGAAGAATTCATGTTTGGTGTATGTTACTCTTATATTTTAGACATTATACTTTTATAAAGAAATTTGAAACATCAGAAAATGAGACATTAATAGCCATTAAGAAGTTTAAATTTTAAGAATAACTCCCAAGCAATGAAAAAATGTTTGTCAGTATGAGTTATCTGTTCTTGATCTCACAGAATTTTATGAAAGTTTGCTGCCTTATTTGAATTTTTTAATGGTAATTCTTCAGCATTTTTAAATGATTTTAGTTTAGAAACTATTTCAAATTTAGAAACTATGAACACTTTAATTGATATAGTTAATAATAGGTTTAAATAAGTGTATATATGTCTATAATGGCTTTAGAATTGAGGACAGGAGTTTATATATCAGATAGGAACTAGGAGGCAGCAAAAAAAAAAAAAAGAAAAAAGAACTAAGAGACAGTAACCAGTGATAATAATAGCATAGGCTTTAAGTTAGACCAACCTGGGTTTGAATTCTACCTCTACCACTTTCTAGCTGAATACTTTGGCCAAGTTATATCAATTTTCTCTTACAAGCATAGTGCCTTTGCTTGTAACTTAAGAGGCTTCTGTAAGGCACAAAGTGAAAATACATGTATAGTGCTTGGCACATAGTAAGTACTCTGTAAGTGATAGCTTTTACCATTTATTCATATTCTCATATTAACGTGGCTACATAATATAATTTAGAGAGAATGTTTGATACATTAGTCTTTAATCTATTTCTGTAGTGCTTTAAGCAAATGGAAGCCTACATGTTTTGGAATTCTTCATGTTATAATAAAACCAAAAGGTTCATCATTTTGAGGGAGACTACCCTAAGTCTGAGAAAATTTGTAAGATTATTATTCGTAGATTTTGAAGTAAGGAGGGCATCTTATATATTCTATATATTTGAAAATGCTGTAGAGGTTAAGCAAAACATTTTTTGCTTTTCCTCTGAATACATGAGGTCTGATTGGTTGAAGAGAAGACATTTGGTATAGACTATTGGATTAGGATATATAAAAATGGGTATTGGTTTAATACAGTAAGTTTGTTCCAAGCATGGGAGTTTTTGCTGTGGATTAAAGCTGTCGATTTCTCACAGAAAATTGAATTAGAAACATTTTTATTTCTGGTATCATTTTAAATCATAACTCCTTTGGAAAGCAAATAGATTAATAAGAAGCAGGTCATAAAAATGTTTGTCCTGACTTGGGTTCAGATTTTGGCTCTGCCATGTAATAAGGTTTAAGACTTTGGACAAGTTACTTAACACTCTGGATCTTTGTTTTTTTCATTTGTGAAAAGGCAGTATAATGATATACCTGAAGAGCCGTTAGGATTAAATGAGAGGTTTATAAAGTAGCTAGCACAATGATCGTATACAATAGGTGATTCGCAAATGTTAATTCTATTCCAGATTCCATTTCTAAATCATCTAAAGGGAAGTAGGAAAAGTAGCATGTATTTGCTCCAGTGAATTTGCATCCCTCATTGTAGGTTCATAGGACATTCATTTATAGTGATAGCATGATAGGCTCTCTCTGCCTTCTCCAGTATACCCAAGTCTGGATATTTTAGTGACAATCGAGTTGCCTCTGTTTGAATTCAGACATTCTAAGGAGAGCACCTAAGTGAGTAATAGTTTCTAAGAGAAGGCTGTAATGACTTGAAGTAATGTTGGGAATAGTTGCATATTGCATGGTTGTCCTGTCAGGACAGTGATGCCACTGACAGAAGGAATAATCAAACACAATTTGAGAGTGTAATGTTTCTTTAGTAGCAAATGACATGGAAACTCAGCAGACAATACAGCCTGCTCAGTGCTGCTGGTGACACCCTCCACCTCCATCCCTCTGCTGATCCAGGAACCAGCTTAGCAGGCACAAGTAATTGGAGCAAACCCAGCACATTCTTGGGTGTTTGCTGTGAGACTGGATGAATTCAAAGGCAGTTTCCTAGGTGTAACATCTTTCAGCAGCCTCAGGCTTTAAGCCTGCCTAGAGTCCATTCCTTTTTGTTTCTTTGTGCTTTTTTTGAGACATGGTCTCTGTGGCCCACCTTGGAATGCGAAGGTGCAATCACAGCTCACCACATCCTCAACCTCCCAGGTTCAGGTTATCCTCCTGCCTCAGCCTCTTAAGTAGCTGGGACTACAGGTGTGTACCACCACTCCTGGCCAAGTTTTTTTATTTTTTGTAGTGACAAGGTTTTGCCATGTTGCCCAGGCTGGTCTCAAACTCCTGGGCTAAAGCGATCCACCCACTTGGGCCTCCCAAAGTGCTGGGCTTATACATGTGAGCAACTGCACCTGGTCTAAGTCTATTCCTTTACTGTTTTGTGAGTTAAAATGAGTGCCTGTAACACAATGGCGTATTGGCAGTAAGCTAGAATAACCACGAATAGGAGAAAGGGCAGAATCTGGGTTATTTTAAATTTAATCCACAGTCAACAAGTTGGATGTTCTTATATTGTGTCTACAGGGTTCCTACTCTGTACTTTTATTGAGATTGGATAAGTTTAAATGGATAAGTGTCAATCCATTAAGTTAGAAAGGAAGATCCCTGCTAATATGTTTATTTCTTGATTTCTGTCTTCTAAAACATGCACATCAATATACAAACAGACACGCTAAATTTTTCTAAGTTGTTAACTTGATATTCTCTCTTTTACCTGTAAATGAGTAGCTTTCGATAGGAAAAAAATTCTCATTTCTAAGCCTTACAAACCATTTTGAGCTGTCCAAATTGCTAAGTAAATTTTTGGGAACTGTTCAGCATAGAGCAATAATCAACAAATGTCAGTAGCAGTCTTTACTGAACCACCTATTATCAGGTATTTATGACTCTAGTGGTAATAAAAGATTTGGGCAGACTTTTCCCCATACTGAATAATTAAACATATTGGCTAGGATGGGAACAATTAGTTTAAGAAGCACTAGAATAGGGATAGGAGACTTGTATTCTGTCACTAACTAGTTTCGAGACCTCTTTGTGTTGATTTCCAATAGGAAGTAAATTTTTCCCCTGCCATTTTACAGGGTTGTTGTTAAGATCAAGTGAGATAAGTGGCATTTATGTTAAAGAACTTTGAAAAGTTAAAGTGCTGTGTGAATACAGAGCATTAGTCTGTTGCCTGTCACCCTGTTTTTAAATTTCAGTTAGTATGTGGAAGGACCAATCTAATATCTTTGGGAGGTTGATTGCTTGCCACTCCCCTCCCTGCCATATGTACAGTATAGGAAAGTAGGCCTCTCTATAGGATGATCAGAGGAAAAGCTTCTGGGATGGTTTGTGTTTGCCTCAATTTCCTATTTTCATTTGTCATTCTCATTAAAGATTTTTTATGATTTAATGTTTTCTTATAATGGGAGTGTGGGAAGCTGGGAGTGGAATAAATCCTAGTAGGAACATAGAGCCTAAAAGCCTGAACATTCTGTATCTTTTATGGTTCATTAAGAACAAAGTATGTCGGTCAGGCGCGGTGGCTCAAGCCTGTAATCCCAGCACTTTGGGAGGCCGAGGCGGGTAGATCACGAGGTCAAGAGATCAAGACCATCCTGGTCAACAAGGTGAAACACCATCTCTACTAAAAATACAAAAAGTTAGCTGGGCATGGTGGTGCGTGCCTGTAATCCCAGCTACTCAGGAGGCTGAGACAGGAGAATTGCCTGAACCCAGGAGGCGGAGGTTGCGGTGAGCCGAGATCGCGCCATTGCACTCCAGCCTGGGTACCAAGAGCAAAACTCCGTCTCAAAAAAAAAAAAAAAAAAGAACAAAGTATGTTTGAACCAGCCTCCCAGTTATCCAAACTCAAATTTGAGCTTTTTACTAAAAAACTTCATTACAGAAATTTTCAGTATATACAAATACAAATAGAGTAATATAATGAAATACCATGTGTCCAGCATTCAGCCTTAAACATTACCAGCTCATAGCTAGTCTTGTTTCGTTATGACTACACATCCTTCTGGGTCACTTTGAAGCAAATCCCAAATAACAAAATTTCATCCATAAATATTTTGGTGTGTATCTCTGAAAGTAAGATATCTTTCAAAATATATGAACACAATACCTTTATTCTTTATCAGTGTTAGGTATCAAATTAATGTTCAAATTACTGTTGCATATTTCACAATTTTTTTTTCATATTGGCTTTTTCTAATCAGGATTCATACATGCATCCAGTTGATAGGTCTCTTAAGTCTGTTTCAATTTGTAGGTTTTCCTTTCTTGTTCCCCTTTTTCCCTGTAATATATTTGTCTTACAGTTTCTCATAGTCTTTATTTTGCTGATTGTATCCCTGTAGTGTTGTTTACCATATCTCTGTCTCATTTATTTTTGTAAACAGGCACTGTAGAGACTTGATTAGACACCATTTTGGTTTTTTATCGTTGTTTTGGAAGGAATACTTCATAGTTAGTTAACATACTCCTGCCAGGAGCACATAATACTAAGTTGTTACTCTTTTTATAAATGTTCGCAGCCATTGATGAATTCCTAGACCAATAATTTTGTGAGGGGTTTGCAAAATGGTTATATTCTAATTGTCACCCTTTCTTCATTTCCTTTTTTTTTTTTTTTTTTTTTTTCCTGTGGCAGGTAATTGAAGCTTTCTTCATTTCTTAGCTGGAATATTTGGAAACTTCTCGACGACTATTGGATTACTTTCCTGTACAGTTTATATAAGAAAGACAGGATAAGTGCTTGCTTGTTCTCCCTTTATTAGTTTTTAGAATAATGAGTTGATTCCCAAGCATCCATCAAAAGTAATCAATGAGGGTTTTTTTTTTTTTGGTTTAAGTTTCATTGTGAACTCAAGGATTTTTTTTTTTTTTT